CTGGGGATGGGGGGGAGGGAGGTGGTGCTCATGGTGGTGGTGGTGGTGGTGCTGCTGGTGGTGTTCTTGGGAGGGGTCATGCTGCGGCGGTGCTTGCTGCATGTGGAGGAGGAAATTCGGAGGGAAGAAGGCGGAGGGAGAGGACGCCATGCCATTGCTGGCCATTGGCTTCTTCAAAGGAGGACGGCGATGGGCATGGGGAGTATTTGAGAGAGGGAGAGGAGGAGAGAGAGAGAGAGAGAGCTGTGTGTGTGTGAGAGAGAGAAACTGAGAGGGGGAGAGAAGATGATGAGGAAAAGGAAATATAACAAGCTAGGTGTGCATGGTGGTTGTTTATCAAAAATAAATAAAATGGGAAAAAGGGTGTAGGAGTACTACTATGACATTTTCCAAAATAAAATGCTGCTTTGAAGAGTCAAACTGATATTCTAGGAGCTACTAGTAGTACTATGGCTCACAGTATTGCTATGATACAACAAGGGTAGTGAAGTTTTTTTTTCTGCCGTAATAAGTAAGAGTTTTTTACAATCCTAAACTGTACTACCTCAGATTCATAAAAAGTGTCGTAGTTTTGAACTAACTCTAGTTTAAATTAGCTCGAAACTGCAACACTTATTTTATCTTGGATTGGAGGGAATATGAGTTTTTCTTAATTTTCTTCAATTTTGGCATTTTTATAAGTCTTCTGATCAGCAATGCAGTTGTCCTTATTCTAGGTTCTTCCTATTTTGAACTTACTATAAACTAAAGATTCAGTAACATTTTGTTGAAACCCAGAGTACACCTTTTTCCGATATGCCCTGTGGCAAGGACGTATAAATTACTCCCTCTGTCCCAGAATATAAGAAAGTTTTTGACACTATGCTAGTGTTAAAAACGTTTTTATATTTTGAGACGGAGGGAGTAGAAATTACCATCACACTGGGGGTTACCAAGTGGGCCCTGTGCACACTGATAAAATTAAACCACAATCAACTGCCCAAATTTGATGCGGCGCCATTCTCCGTTTTAAAATTACCAGCAGACAACGTTGGCATGCACATTGCCTAGCTAAAATGGCCTGCCAGCGAAAGTGTACCACAAAGGACCATGCTTCCCAAAAGCTATGCCTCAGGCTGAGTAGGATAGTAGCTTCCACAGTGCCTTTATTTTCTTCCATGTGCTAGCTAGCATCGACCTATACATTTTTTGCTAGTGCCTTTTCAAACCTTTTTGTGTCCTTTCTTTTCCCTTTTAAATGATTTATTTATAAAGATCAATGTTAATGTGAAGTTGATACTCCCCCCATTTCAATGAATAAGGCACACACACATTTTAAATTTTTAATTTGACAATAAATTAGACCTACCATTGCATTCGTATTCGAGAGAACTTTTCAGTGATATAATTTGTAAGTCACAAAAATATATATATTATCGGTCTAACTTATGGTGGTGTTAGCTCGGAAAGTAGGGTGAGGGGGATAACGACGCGACATGCCAACATTGAGAACTAAGTTGGTATATTTGAGGATGGACATGCGAAATTATCTGTTATAAATTCCTTGTGCCCCTCATCCTGTTTTCCAAGCTAACACCACCATACCTCCCAATCTCGGCAATATCAGACACGAACTAGATACGCATGCACCTGCTCAAAACGCCTCAGCAGACACGTTGGAATACCTACATGGATTGGTGAAGTTCGAGAGTCTATTCTCTAGGCCAAGGGATCTATATATAGAACCATATGGCCAATGCTAGCGCCCGATCACTGTTGTAATACTCCAACCGCCTGGCTAGGCAAGCACACGGCACGAAATCTCCGACCCCATCCATGGAGACAACCTCTCATGAGCACACTCCATGTGTGGTGGCAATGCAATCCTAACAACATACTCCCCCGTGCTAGGCCAGGATCGCGACCAACACCTACCATGCTCACGGTGTTTAAACTGGCCGGCCAATGCTGCCGAGAAATGCCCAAGGCAGCGAGTCTCCGCACCACCGAGCTAGGCAAAGGAACGCTTGATCCCCTGATCCAAAGATGAAAACAAAAAACATCGCGCCATCAAGTGCATGGGCTTTGCCTTGTGGTGTCGCCCCATGGAGGTGGTGAGAAAAGAAGCGTGTGGAAGGGGGTGGAGGGCGAGGTTAGCTAGGGGTGTCGCCCAATGAACCTCCATCACCATCGAACATCCGTGTGCATGAAAACGGCTCGACGATTTGGCAAAGACTATGAGAACCACACTGATGATGACCGCGTGATATTCCATACGTCATTCCGACTTGATGATCAAATGAGTGGCGTATCTCACATGATGATAGGCAGTCGATCACGCAATTATGCTTTACCGCACGCATGGGTGCTTTTTGAGTGGCCTGATGATGCGTACATGGATTGGGATGTCAGGTGCAGTGGTTTAGCTGTGTGTATCCTTGGAGAATCATTGGTTCCGACTATTCACTACGTACATCACGTCAAAGCTGGACTTCTTTCCCGGATGGATGGATGAATATTCCCTTTCATTCACGGCTCCGGCCGTGCAGCATCCATCAGTTACTCTCGAATCCTGCCCCAGTTCCGATCATTAAAAATCGAGCAAGTTAAGAAAAGAAATGTGATGAAAAACTCCGTTTCTATGGGGTGGATGAACGGACGAGATCACGCGAAACTCACGCTCGACGGGCGGGGCTAGATCGCGTGTGGGAGGCGACGGAGCGGAGGGATCGAACAGCCAGCCTAGCTAGCCTAGCATAGCGTGGCCACGCGCGCACATACATGGCGTACCAATCTGGACGCGCATATGGGTGACGCTGGCTTTTAGATTGTGCCTCGCGCGCGTTGCGTAGCTCACTCGCTCACCCCGCCGGTCGTTGGAGGAAAAAAACACAGAAAAAATCGTGGGCAGTTTTTTTTTTTTTGAGAATCCAATCGTGGGCAGCTGAGAGGGAGAGAGAAGAGAGGAGGAGCCAACGTAGTGCCCACCACCCTGCCACCATGCGCGCGCGGGCGTACGTCGTCGTGTGCCTGCCTGCATGTGGGCTCGCCCGCTGGATCCAGCCAGCCAGCCCACGCCGACGCCGTGGATCGGTCGACCCCTCCCGGCCGTTCCGGCGGGCCCCGCCATTTCCCCAGCTCCCTCCCCCCAGCCTCGCGCGACTGCTAGTGCGGGCCGGGTGGCCCTGCCGCTAGTTGGCCTTTGCGGGGAGGCCAGCCCGCACATGGCCGTGTTAGTTAGGAGAGATCCCCCTCCCTTCCTTCCCCTTGGACCCTTCCATATTCCCTACCTCTCATGCCTCAACCCTCGCGCTTTTCCTCTGGTTTTGTTTTAGTTTATAAACATATATATATATATATATATATATATATATATATATATATATCCCTCCATGATCTCGCCACTCGCGTATGCTCACACGCCCGTCGGTGCATCGCATGTCTGCCGTGCCTCCTACAGTACATGCCACGTACGTACGTACACGAGGCCGAGCTCACTCCACGGTACATAACACAATGAGATGGACCAAAAATGGAGGCACGCGACATGGGCTGGCACGGTACGGGGATGCTCATATACAAGACTTGTGCACATACACCGCCAGCGACTCGCATTTCTTTTTGTTCGTCCAGAACGAGCAACTTGATGCATATGCTAAGCATATTTCTGGGTTTTTTTGCATGGTGGTGGGTGCGTACACCGAGCCGTTTGGAACCTTCTCGCGCTCCCACCTCACGTGCCACCCACATATGCTCCCTGCACGCATGTTCTTCGCCCCCTCCCCCGCCAATTTTCTACGCGACCCACTTGGACCCTTCCACTACCCCGATTATTCTGCTGTATTTTCCACATGGCCGGGAGGTAGCTAGCGAGCGAGCTAGCTAGGCGGCGCGGTTGTTACCCGTGAGGAACACCGCCGCGCCAGTGACAAACGCTGGAATGTTTCGGGGTTAAATAACTGATCCAAGTATCCGCCTCGATCGCGTTACCAAACCGTATCGTTAGCCGTTGCGTCGTCTGATTGTTAAGAGGTTGTAGTAGTTGTCGATACGCAGATTTGCTCGCGTTGCAGTTGGCGGGTCTCTTCGTTTGCTCGCGCTGAGCAGCTCGGTTAGTAGAAAGGGTTTTTATTATTTCTGCCGCTAGTTATGTCCCACTACTCAGTTTTGTTATTAGAAGTTACAACTACTCAAAAATGCCATCAGTTCGTGACATGCTTGCTCAAAAATGCCATTAGATATCTCAAAAATGCCATCATTCTGTTAGATGTTTGCTCAAAGATGTCATTAGACACTGCTATTTTCACGTCAAACCCGTCGACCATGTTATATGACAAAAATAAGCCTAGACCCACATGTCAGTTCTCTCTATCTCACAATGATAAGTGTGACCCCACTTGTCAGGAGTAACCAAGCGAATAATTTTACAGGAAAATAAGAACGTTGTTGGGAACAAATGGACCCCACATTTTATTGTAGTGAAATAGAGGGAGAGCTGACATGTTGGTTCATAGGTATTTATGTCATTATAACATGGCAAAAGAGATTTGAGATCACAATAATGGTATCCAGTGGCATTTTTTAGCATGTGTCTAACGAAGCGATGACATTTTTGAGCAATTGAAATTCCTAGTGGCAAAACTGAGTAGTGAGACACAACCGGTGGCATAAATGATAAAAACCCTAGTAGAAAAATGACCTAATGTGAGACATATTAGTCTCGGTTCGATTTTGGCCCGGTACTAATGGCACCATTAGTGCCGGTTCGAACGGCTATGTATTAATACCGGTTCGTGTTGAACCTTTAGTACCGGTTCGTGCCACGAACCGGTGCTAAAGGGGTGGTGGCAGGCTGGCGTCAGGCCGGGGCCCCATGATCACCTTTAATACCGGTTCGTGGCACAAACCTGTACTAAAGGGATAACCTTTAGTACCGGTTCGTGCCATGAACCGGACTAAAGG